AAAAAAAAAAAAAACTAAAGTCACCATTAAATTGGCAAGTGTGAGCAGGACATTTTTGTGTTATTAAGTAATAAGCCTTTAGAGCAACATTAAGGTGAGGAGTGACTCTAGTTCACACAGTTCTAATAAATTGCGATGGGTTAAATAAACTCAATAAGCAGACAGACGCGACTACAGTCAAGCGCAGAAGTGCAGAGGAAATAAGCAGCAGTCATATTTAAAGCAGTTTACATTAATATTGAGTACTGATTACTGATGTTCACTTGGATTTTTTTCCCCATCGAGGGGAAATAACTTAATACTCTGTCATTTATAGTCGTATGGTAAAATGTATATTTTTAATTGTGTAACGTTACGTTCAAAATAACTACAAAATGTCATGCCTTTGAAAAATAAAGAGAACAACAGAATGCACTGCTTTAGCGCGTCTCGGTCTCCTTGAGCATCTTTCTGCCGCATGCCACAAACACGAACCACAGTGAATACTCGTCTTTTAAAAGGCTTAATTTAGATTATTTTACATTAAATGCATCATATAAGTCACTTTGGAATAAATCACAGTAGGCCTATGTATCATGATAAAAAAAAAAAGCACTTTACAGTCTAGAAATACTTTAGGCTATAGCAAATTATTTCTCGGACCCCCGATCACTTTAAGAACCGCTGGTCTACACAGAAGAAAGCCCTGTCTAGACTCTGCCCCGGTACCAGTTGTGTCCAGCTATTCATTAGTCTGTTTGTTTGATGAAAAATTTTAAATTGATTAAATGGGTTATTAATCCGTACACCTGCAGCAGTGGAGGACTATTATTCTGCTGCATGATACTGCAGAGGAACTGATGACGGCACGGGTTGATCTTTGGCAGAAAGGGGCGTTTAATTCCCGCCCACGTGTAGAAATCGAATATTCAAGCTGTTTATTAATTTTTCCACCCATGAACAAAAAACGAAACTTGCTGAAAAATGAGAAAAGGGAGCCGTTTTCTAATTTTTCTACTTTCAATATTAAATCAAAAAAACGAATGATCGAATGATACACGGATTTAGATGCATGTTGATTTTATCAGACGATGCTGTGATTATAAATGAGAGAGACTCCTGGGTAACATGTATTAAAAGCGGTCGTGTTTAGCTAGGGCATTCTAAGTCAATATACTGCAGTATTTCCTCTCAATCAGTAGAAGATATGGTTAACACCCGCTCATGCATGAAAAAAAATACCGCCATGTACCGTGAAACCGGAATAATTTAGAAAAATACAGTGATATAGATTTTTGGTCATACCGCCCAGCACTAGTCTGAAGGGTTGAGAGACTTTAACTAACTGCATGTTATTTCCAGTGAGGTTAATAGATGTTTAAAGTGTTGCATTTCAAAGAGTTTTCAATGTCACATTACCTTCATACAGTATGTAGTTTAATCGCATGCAACTTCAATTAACAGCTCAAACATGAAGAACAGCAGAATTCTGCCTCGGGCTCCGACAGGAACCGAAGAGCTTGCGTTTGGCTTTGAAGACTAATTGGGTTTGTTACTAAAGTTTTACACCATGCAAACTAAGTGGAGTTGAAATCTGCCTGTTTTCTCCTGGTGTGTCCATGTTCAGATGATATGAAGATCATAGCTTTAATGCTAGTTAGCGGAGTAGAGTGAGTTATTGAGTGTGTTTCACCCAAACAATGCTTGATTTGAACCCAAGCGCTCTGGATGAGTTTCCTCAAACACGTCCTCGGAGCTCGAAGCGTTGCATCTCCTGAAGTGAATCCTGACTCTGGCTGCTCTGTTCGTTAGCCTGTGTGCGCGAGGTAACCTTCCTTTGCTCTCCTGTTCACTTCTCAAACTCAGATTCAGTTTTTGTTGCTCTGACAGCACAGCGCAGATCTCACAGTCCTCTCAGAAGCGTCTGCATGGTGTCGTAGATCCTCAGACGGACGTCAGACACTCCAGAGATAAACTCCCACTCATTTCTCCCCATGCATTGCCAACCATTCTAGAAAGACTTTACACTTAGGCTCTGATCACCAACACATTCACTTTCACCAATGTAGCTCAATTTGAGAAACGCCAGATTAGTTCCCAGAGCAAAGACACTGTAATTAGTTCTGTGTTCATATCTGTGATTCCTGCGGTCGAGTGTTTAATGTTCGTTCTTTGGTTTTGTTCAGGTTGAGTTCCCGTCGGAAACCGTCGGGGGTTTGAAGAAGGCCGAGGCCTGATGAACCGTGTTTGTTCCTCTGAAGGGTAAAGCGTGAGGTTAGTGTTTCTTATGATCTTGTTCTGGATTCACTTTGGCAGAAGTGTGATTGTGAACTGATCTGGTTTTCTCTTTGGTGTAGATGATGGAGGTTCTCGGACATCAGATGGTCATTTTATGAGCCGCAGCTGTTGAAAACCCTTTAACACCGTTGGTTTTCCTGCTCAAAAATGACCGGCCTTCTAGAAATTGATTGTAAATGCTGTATTATCGGCAAATACTGGCTGTTTTGTATCAGCGAGCGCAGGTTTTGTTTTCTCTTCTGGAACTGTTTGATCGCAGGCCACAGTAACCTTCTTTAGTTAATGTGCAATACATCTAGAGTATTTATGAAACTTTGTTCATGTTAATAAAAATCCACCTGTTCTTTGTCAAGGTTAGCTCAGTTTTATTAAATGATCTTAACAGATTTTAAAAATGCATTAGTACATGTTGAAATGAACATTGATTGATTAATGCTTTGGATTTCATGTAAACTAATGTGGCTAACAAATGAAGTTTTTCTCAAGTTTCACTGATCTGGTTGTGGATAATTTTGACATTTATTAAAATATGAAAAATCACTCTGGTGTGCTTTAGTGTTTAATCAGGAGGTTTGTTTTGAAATGCTTTTATCTTGTACAAAAAAGTCACAAAGTAACAACGCCAGTCAAAAATGACTAGCCTATAAATCCCTTTTTATGCTATATTATCACCAAATATTGGATTCAGTCTTTTTGTAAACTTGTTTTCCTTCAATTAGGACAGTGTTTTTATATTTTTGAAACTGATCAAATATTTTCGTTTGGAATATTTGCTAAATCTTTAACCCTGATCAAACCTTTACGTTGAGCTCGCATCGCTCGTCTTCAGTTGCATCGTGTTTTTGGACCCAGAACCAGATTATACGCTTCATTGATCTTTATACACGTTCATCTGGCTTCATCGGTTCAGTTCTGTTGATTATGCATTCTGAGTAATTGCACTTTGTCAAGTTTAAATGGTCCTGAAAAAAAGTGTCTTCAAAATGATGATAAAAAATATTGTCAAAAATGATCACTTTGGAAATGATTGGTGAACAAATGTCATCTAATGGAATCTTACTGAAAGCTCTGATGATATCAACCTCAAATTTGGAACATAACTTATGATTTATGGCTTTGGTCTTCTCACTGTTTGGGAGTAAAAGTCAGTTCAGAGTTTTGGGGTCTCGGCCATTTGAGAACATGGCTGTGAACACTGGGAACTGAAGTCAACAGAAGCCCTGAAAACATGGAATAAATTCATGGTGGAAAAACAAATAGGTTGCATACAGTAGGCGAAAAACAGTACGTGACCAAAGAAGAATGTCTGAATTCACAGTAGTCATAAAAGAGTAGGCAAAAAGCCCCCGGATGACCGACTTCGGTGGATTCTGAAGCGAGTATACCATGGACACTTTATATCCCATGAGGCCACGGGAGAGATTCATGAACGCTGGTGGGTCACGTGACAATGACATGGTGAATGTAGTACATCCAGATTACACTCATGCTATATAGAACATACTCTTTTTTGGGAGGTCGCAAAGTAATTACTTGTTCAGAAAAGCACCTACTCAAGAGAGTATGCAATTTAAGACGCAGGCCCACAGTGTTTTAGATCCTAAGATTTTGTTCCCTCCAAAAAACGTTTCTCTCTTTTAAAAACTTTTCTCTTCAAAAGAGAGAAACATGACGACCCGCTAACATTAGCATTGACCTCAACTTACTCTCGCGTCACCTCGAGGGAGGAGAAAAAGCTATATTATCACCAAATATTGGATTCAGTCTTTTTGTAAACTTGTTTTCCTTCAATTAGGACAGTGTTTTTATATTTTTGAAACTGATCAAATATTTTCGTTTGGAATATTTGCTAAATCTTTAACCCTGATCAAACCTTTACGTTGAGCTCGCATCGCTCGTCTTCAGTTGCATCGTGTTTTTGGACCCAGAACCAGATTATACGCTTCATTGATCTTTATACACGTTCATCTGGCTTCATCGGTTCAGTTCTGTTGATTATGCATTCTGAGTAATTGCACTTTGTCAAGTTTAAATGGTCCTGAAAAAAAGTGTCTTCAAAATGATGATAAAAAATAGTCAAAAATGATCACTTTGGAAATGAATGGTGAACAAATGTCATCTAATGGAATCTTACTGAAAGCTCTGATGATATCAACCTCAAATTTGGAACATAACTTATGATTTATGGCTTTGGTCTTCTCACTGTTTGGGAGTAAAAGTCAGTTCAGAGTTTTGGGGTCTCGGCCATTTGAGAACATGGCTGTGAACACTGGGAACTGAAGTCAACAGAAGCCCTGAAAACATGGAATAAATTCATGGTGGAAAAACAAATAGGTTGCATACAGTAGGCGAAAAACAGTACGTGACCAAAGAAGAATGTCTGAATTCACAGTAGTCATAAAAGAGTAGGCAAAAAGCCCCCGGATGACCGACTTCGGTGGATTCTGAAGCGAGTATACCATGGACACTTTATATCCCATGAGGCCACGGGAGAGATTCATGAACGCTGGTGGGTCACGTGACAATGACATGGTGAATGTAGTACATCCAGATTACACTCATGCTATATAGAACATACTCTTTTTTGGGAGGTCGCAAAGTAATTACTTGTTCAGAAAAGCACCTACTCAAGAGAGTATGCAATTTAAGACGCAGGCCCACAGTGTTTTAGATCCTAAGATTTTGTTCCCTCCAAAAAACGTTTCTCTCTTTTAAAAACTTTTCTCTTCAAAAGAGAGAAACATGACGACCCGCTAACATTAGCATTGACCTCAACTTACTCTCGCGTCACCTCGAGGGAGGAGAAAAAAATTGTAACGTTTGTTGATGAGAGAAAACATTTCTGAAGAGAGAACTACGTTTTTTGTTCAAAGAAAAAAAAATTGTTGAGAAAAAACTTTTTTTGAAGACAAAAAAATTTGATGCAAGAAAACTAATTTAAGAGAAAAAGTTTTTGTTGAGAAGTTTGATGGGAACATGTTTGGACAAGCTTTTGAAGACAGAAAAAGTTTTGGATGAGAGAAAAAAATTGAGAAAAACGTTTCGAAGACAAGCTTTTTGATGCAAGAAAAAAAAATTTAAGAGAAAAGTTTTTTGTTGAGAGGAGTTTCATGGGGAAAGTTTTTTTTGACAAGCTTTTTTAAAAGAAATACGTTTTTCAAGACAGAAAAAGTTTTTGATGGAAGAAAAAAGTTTTTTGAAGAGAATAATTTCAGAGAAAGAAAATCTCAGGAAGGATCTAAGGCGCTATTATTTTTTCTACCTTAAAATTCTTTTTTGTTTTGCAGCTGGAGGCTTCTGTAAACGACGACGACTCAGATTTACTCGTGAAGCTCGTCTCGGTTTAGAGTTGGTCACTGAACTGTGATCGCACCTCAGTGGGCAGCTAGGACAGGAACGGCAGGTCCATCCGCTCACACTGAAGCCTCGGGTCCTGATGAGGAGCGTCTGAGGGTGACGACAGTGGGGATGTATTCCTGTCACACACACACACACACATCCGTCAGTCTCAGAGATCACAGATCAGACTGGAGCTGTGGTGCGTTCACTCACAAACACACGCCAGACCCACACAGCCGTTCTTGCAAATCAGGCTATTTCTTGCAATTCTGAATCATACTGTACATCTCGGAACTCTGAATTATACATCTCGCCGTTCTGAATTACGAGATATGTGATTGATGTAATCATCTAAAAGAATCATGACGTGTAGCTGAATTCTGGTCCCTACAGAGCGCTGTGATGGCGGTCGCACACGTGTTTCTCAGCATCTCCGTCAGCTGTTGCCGTCTCAAATGATAATCCCTTAGCAACTCCGTCTCCATGGCGACTGCTTCCTCTTTACTGCCAAACATAATAAATAAATGAGTTGAGATGAGATGAGCACTAAAAAAAGATCAGCACCAAGACTAGTTAATACGAGTGTTAATAACAGATATGAGCGAGTGAGTCCAGAAACATGACAATCAGCACACGGAGTTTCAATGACTTTCTAAATAAGTGTTTTTGTCTTGTTTTCCATTACATTTTCGAAGATAGATTTACTTAAGAAGGATATTCAATCTTGCTTTATGTATCAAAATGAAGAAAATACATTATATATATACAGTGGGGCAAAAAAGTATTTAGTCAGCCACCAATTGTGCAAGTTCTCCCACTTAAAAAGATGAGAGAGGCCTGTAATTTTCATCATAGGTATACCTCAACTATGAGAGACAAAATGAGAAAAAAAAAATCCAGAAAATCACATTGTAGGATTTTTAAAGAATTTATTTGCAAATTATGGTGGAAAATAAGTATTTGGTCAATAACAAAATTTCATCTCAATACTTTGTTATATACCCTTTGTTGGCAATGACAGAGGTCAAACATTTTCTGTAAGTCTTCACAAGGTTTTCACACACTGTTGCTGGTATTTTGGCCCATTCCTCCATGCAGATCTCCTCTAGAGCAGTAATGTTTTGGGGCTGTCGCTGGGCAACACGGATTTTCAACTCCCTCCAAAGATTTTCTATGGGGTTGAGATCTGGAGACTGGCTAGGCCACTACAGGACCTTGAAATGCTTCTTACGAAGCCACTCCTTCGTTGCCCGGGCAGTGTGTTTGGGATCATTGTCATGCTGAAAGACCCAGCCACGATATTTTTTTTTCCCCGCTTTATTTTTCATTTGAGGGCAAGAAAATACATTTCCAATCTTACAGCAGCCACGTGGTTGAAATAGCCTGTAGAGTTTGTGTTATATGTTCATGTTTTAGGACAACAAATAAAGTTTTTTTTTTAAAATATCAATTTTCTTTTATATATTTTCAAAAATATATTGGTAGAAAATATGTTTAGCATATATTTTATCTAATATAATTTTGGCCATTTGTTGAACATTTTAAAATATATTTTCAAATATATATTCTTTGCTGTATGGGAATGGAGTCAGAAAAATAATCTTGTTTTCCTTTTAAATTAAGTGTATTTTTCTGACCTCATTGGAAAATATTTGTTCTTGTTTTAAGCATAAACTCACTTTATTTTGATCTATTTTTTTTTATAAAACAAGACTTCATAAATCATTTAGCATCTCCAGTAAATATATCTTGATTCAAGTATGTTTGCATAAAGCAGCGAGTGCCTTATGTTTATCTCTCAGTCAAAAACTGTGAAGTTAAATTCAGTGACGTCTCAGTCTGTTTATTTTAAATAAATCATATGAGCTACTGTTATAACATGGTGTTTTTCCTTTTATTCTAGAGTTTGACAGAATCCCTATGAGCTGCTGCTTGATGAAAGAGAGCTGCATGAAGATTCATCTGAATTTCTACTTTTGTGCATTTTGCTCCTCCTGTAATGATGCTGTTCATAATGTTCAGTTCTCAGTATCTCTCAGAAACTGTCTGAATGTGAGTGCGATCTCAGTGCGTGTGTAATGAATCTGCACAGGAGACACAGCGAGACTCATCGGAGACGATTCAGAGACGCTGTAGATGGACGTGTGTGTATAAACTCCAGTCCATCAGTTAACATCTGGAGAAGACAAAAGCTGAGA